AACACGTTGAAGGGCTGAAAATATGTACAGTGTGTAACTTCGATTTAAGATATCGTTTATTCTGTTTTTTTAACAATTACAATATTGCAGTTCTATGATTACTTCTAGTGAGAGAGAGGGAAGTAGTCTATTGCAATGGTGAGGTTGCTTCTTTGTAATGGTGGCGATGTCGTTGATGTTATAGGGATTACCAATCGATATTGATTATTGGGTTCTTGCTGACGTTGTAAGGATCAGCAAGAACAGTCGACCACGCTCATCTGATGAGCATGGGTAGATGGTAATGGTAGTTAGCAGTGCTTAGCAACGAGAATTAACCATACTCAAAAGGGGGAGTATGTTAATGTTTCTGTGGTAGTTATCATGGTGAATCGACCATACTCAAAAGGGAGTATGGGAGTATTAGTGAGCTAGTGATACGCAAGAAAAATAAATGATATACCTTCGAGAGCGGAAGAAATTGATATCATGAGTTTTATATTCGACTATTTGTAGAACGGTAGTTTGGCCTTAACGGATTGTTGTTTATGCGGACTGGAGAAGTGAACGAACGTTCCCTACAATTACTGTACAGAGAGAGCGTACTGCGCCACCTTCCTGGCAAAGACTCCGTGCGAACCGTGGCTTGGACATAGATGACGACTAGCTTAGACGAATAATTGAATAGTGGTACTTTATGAACTACTGACACTGCGTACTGAATGACTGTTTAACTTGACGCACTTAAGTAGTTATAATTATTATGGTTTCACTGTTGACTTACTAGCTTTTTATTGCAGAGTCTGGTAGCATTATGCGCGTGTATATTGTAGGTTGATTGCCAGGTATGCGGCGGCGTTTAGTGTCTGTGTGGATGATAACTGATAACTGATTGATTGAAAAATATTGTGAGCAATAACTAATGACTGAGTAAATGGTAAAAGTACAGTGAGCGCCGGTGTTGTTTTTTATATTTAAGTTTCATTATTTATCTTCATATAAAATAATAATTAATGATATTAAATGAATATATTATGTTTCAATATTTGAATATTAAATGAATATGGTATAATTTATATAGTGATTTATAAATTTAAACATCAATTTTTTTAACGACTTGAGAAGAAATTTGCAATTTATCAGTTTGATGTATATTATTAATTTTCTTTTCTTTTGCTGTGTCTTTCTCAAATTAATAAAATTATTTAAAGAAAACATATATTCCAAGTATTTGTTTTCTCATAATATTTTTAGTTTTTCAAGATTTTTATTATATTCATAAATTTTTGCATTTCAACAAATTTATTTATTATAGGTTTCTTTATATATATATATATATATATATATATATATATATACAAGATTATTCCATAGTAATTTAATACTATAATTTATAACTTATAAGATTAATACTATTAAAAAAGTAATACTATTAAACCATTTCAAAATGATCAAAAATAATACAATTTCTAAAGTACATTATCTTTATTCTTATATTATTTAAAATTAAATTCATCAGTGATATTTGATTACTTATTATTTATAATCTTGCTTATACTAACAATTTTATTAATATAAACTTGTAAGATTTAAATTCATATTCAGAAATATGAAATGGTTCATTTTATTAAATAATGATATTTATGTAATCATATTTTCATTCTCTGATGGATTATGAATTGTATATATTTTAGTCTCTTTACTATTTTAAATTTAGGTAATAATTTGAGACTTTTTTATTTTAAACATATAATATTTAAGTTAAAATAGATTGAAAGATTATTGTAATTGTAAAGGAAAATTCCATTTTTATTACTAATATTTTACTTTTATCAGCAATGTTTAAACTAATGAATTCCCGTGATTTAGAATATAGATATTCATTACGCTGAATTAGTTTTATTGGAGATAATACAAAAGCATTAGAACATTCTTTTGTTGGTTTCTTGAAAGTTTCTTATCTTTGTATTAATATCTTTAGTATGATACTTGATTATATTTATGGTTGAATATTTATCAATAATTTATACCATGAAATAATTTTTTTTATATTATGTTTTATTTTATTATTTAATTCTCATATTTCGTCAACTTCATATTTTATTCGTTATCTCTTGTTTTATATTTATTACTTTAATCTGATCTTTGTAAATTTTCCAGAAACCTGCAGGATATGCCTCGTGCTGATAAATACGATTACTGTCAAATTTGGCAAAAACATGTATACAATGTGTTCGCCTGTATAAGCAGTATATACAAAAATGCTTGGTATGCCATCTAAAGCATTGTGTGATGTGAAGTCAAAGTAGGTTCAAACACCATGGCATTAATATTGCACAGAGGCACAAGCATAATTTAATCGCATTGTGACATAGTGCGCAATTAGAGAGCTGCACTACTACGCATGCACATATTGAGAGCGTAAAGGTATAAATAATATCACGTATATCATAACGAGGTTAATTAATTTGGATTACCTTACTATTAGAATCTTGTTCCAAGAATATCTATAATATTTGTGGAATAAAGACAGCTCTCTTTTTTTAAATAAAGAAAAGCATAAAAATAGGACAATTAAAAAAAATAGGAAAATAGGAAAATATAAAAATAGAAAAAAGATGAGCATTATTTCCTACTGTAAATTTGATATTTGTGGTGTATATGATTAATATTTAAACATCACGGTTATGTGTATTTACTTGTTTTCTCGCCTCTGTTTTGTTTTTATTTAATAAGGTTCTGAAACATATTCAAATGAGTTTTAGTTGTATTAAGAAATAATGATTTTAGCGCTTCAATTGCAATTTACTACCCTACGATATGTCCGCTTCTGTGAGTATAATTTAAAGATTTTTTATTGTAATTTGTCCAATTCATTATAAGTTATCTTATAAAAATTATAAGTTTATGGTAGCACACGTAGTTTAATTACAACGCAGTCATAATGATATGGCGTTATTAGTACTCTGATATGTATAATAGCTATAAATTTACGAACATAATACTGTTTTGACCCGATAACTTTTTGTAGTAGCACGGATTCTTTAATGACACAGCCATCTGCAAAGAATCCATGATATAAGATATTGTCGATTAGTTAATAGTATATTATAAATAAGTATTCATTTTTCATTCCACATAGCATTTTTACTTTTTAACAGAAAAATTTGAGTTGAAGTTTACAAGTCTATCGATATAGAGTTCAGTCTTTATAATTTCATCTATTCTTGGATTTTACATTGCTGATAATAAAGACATCTAATCAAATTATATGATCATTCGAATTGTAATTTATATGCTAATACACATTATATAATAGACCTTCGTAGAATTATAGAGACAATTTATATCAGATTCGTATTTGTAGGTCATAGGAATTACAAAAGGATAAACAAGTGCAAAGAATATTTATATGATTGTTACATTTATTGATAGTTATATAATTGTTTGAAATGTTAATAAATATATAAGTAACTATGAAGTAAGATGCAGCAATTACAGCTTCGGGAAGAAGTATCCTTTGAAATTCAATTATCCCGCTAAGTGCCTGAAGAACTCTACTTAATAATAGATTCTTGCATTTATCCTAATAAAAAGATTTACTGTTAAATACTTGAACAATGTCTCCTATATTGAATCTCAGAGCTGATATATATTTTTTAAATTTTTCTTTTAATTCGTATTATAGTTTCACATTGTAATATTACGAACTACTTGCTTACTTGTATCTATACTTATTTGGGGCATAAATTATCTGAATACTGTCTAGTGATATAATACCTAACTTATTAATATTGAATTATTGTACTAACTGTTTTTTAAATAAATTATTTTCTAAACATTTATTTATTACATAATTTAATTAAATAATTCTGCAATGATACGTATAATTTCGTATTGACATCTTATCTTTGTATCAACAGATGTCGGAAACGTTTAAATTTAACTAAATGCAGTTTTATTTCAAACTATATTTCTATTTTTATATTATTTTGAATATATCATTGATATTGAATATAATTCATTCAATATTCTGATACCGTTTATATAAATATCTCATTATGTATAATATAATTGGATAAATTATATTTTATCTATTAACTTTTGGACATGAATCGGCTATAATTTAAATACTTATAAACTTGATAAAATCTTATATTTGCAATTTGTCTTTGGTTAAAAATGTTTGTGAGATCTTACACTAATATTATAAAAATACTTTTAAAAATATAACTATAAAAAAACTATAAAAGTACGATAAAATTTGCACTGGAAAAGAAAAAATACTTTCCAAAATATTTTTGCAAAAACAGGTTAAAAAGTTCATCTCTCTTTGTACGAATTCTTTAAACCTGTTTCCTATGTATGAACGAAACGTGTATACACCATAGAGTTGCAGATTCTCTATCCTTCATCCCATGCTGCCTTTCATAATAATTCAGTTACCTCTCTATCCTTTAGAACGTATCAAGCACCACATCTCTATATTCAATACTGGTAATTAATTTCTATTTTATCCAATCTACTATACTATACTATGTGTAAATAAATATTTATATGCGCACATTCATACATAATCATTTCCTTGTTTTAAAGATTTCTAATTAACCTTATGCGTATTATGTTATACATATTTTATATATATAAACAACCGGCACGTACGTGCTTTTTGACTGTACACGTGGTTCATTAAACAAATGGTATATTATTATAGAAAATTATTATTTTGTAAATATTTATAATAAAAATAAGGTTAAGCCTTTTTTAACTTCGTAAGCAAATTATTAAATAAATATAACTTATATACTTGATTACGCTACAAAATTTAGATACGTAAATGATACTGATGGAAATACTTTAAGTTTAAATTTATATAATACATTGAAACTTAATATTTACATTTATGAAACTACAACAACTTTTACATAAAATTTTTTACTTTTAATGAAAATAAAACTCTTATTTACTTATACAATTTATATTAATATACTATTGATTTTTACATTATTTTTATCATTTAGCCGTCGTGGATGAGAAGTCGAGAGTATTGGGACGATAGTTTTGAACGACGTTACACAGAATTAAAAAATGATCCCAAGAGACCACCTTTAAAGGTATGTACTATTAGAATTTACATATTTTTTTTCAATTAATATATTTATATAAATTAATATAAATTAATATTTATATAATTAATATCATTATATATATATATATATATAATGAGAAAGAAGAAAAAATATTATTCGTTTACAAATAAAATTATTCATATTAGAAATGTTTTCAGACAAAACAAATATTTTAGAAAAAATATCACTAAAAAATTATAAAAGAAGTTGAAATAAAAGCAAAATTATGAAGAAGATGAATTTACTTAAATTCTCTTTTTTATATCATATTTAGAACAATAAGATCGTATATTTTGAAAACTAAGATATTTATAAATATATCAGATGTATGTACTTAGTGATAATATAGAAAGTTTAAATTCTTAATGAGAATTCAAACAATGCAATAAGAATTATTCTTAAAATGACAAAATTTTTTATATTTTATATTATTTTTTATTCTTATATACACTTTTAATATTTAATTTTTTATAAAAAGATTTATTGTATTATATATGCAGTAGATATCAGATATTTGATTTATCTTTATATTAAGTTGTGTATTTTATGTTTGATCTTCTATTTTTTTTAATTATTGAATTTATATCAAAAATAGTATTGCGTTCTTCTTGAGTCTATCTCAAGATAGTTCTTTGATATCCGATGTATTATATCCGGATTACTATTTTTATTTTTGCTGATGTAATGATTGCCTATATTTATGAAACATATTTCAAATATTAATTAAAAAATTCCATCAATATTTGAAATTATTTAGATATTTATTTCAATTATTTTTGTGAATAACTATTTAGTTATTTACCACTACTAGATTTTAAATTACTTAATTTGATTTTTTATTTTATATAACCAATCATTTAGTTTTATAAAATCAACGGTAAAATAGTTTTAAATGTTTTACAAACTACTTAATACTCGTTTGTAAATAAAACCATGTGTTGTAAATAATGAAAAAATTATATTAAGAGGATTTTATTAATTGTATGAAATTCAAATGTAAGATTCTGAAATTTACCTAAATTAAATACATAAATAAACACAATAATTTTAACTTACCTAAATATTTACATATATATATATATATATATATATATATATTATTTAATCATTTTAAGAAATAATTTTGAAATTTATGAATTTATAACCGAGCACTTTATATTTAGAAACATCTAAAACTTATATTAATATTCAATTTATTTTACAATTTCTAATATATTTTACAGAGCAAAGAAATTTATATACATTATAAAATTCGTTGTACAATGATAGATTTGCATGTTAAAACTTTTGTTTGTTAATAATTTTGTAATTTAATATTCTTGTCAAGCATCAAAATAATATAGAAGAAATTTGTGTGAGATATTTTTACATAATTTCTATAAATAGTAAGTATATAACACGTTAAATCAAAGATAGTGCCGCTGGGAACTGAACCTGTATTATTTTGAAGCGCTCAGCTTTTAATGGTACCTTTTATATTTGTGTTTGAATTTCATAGATATAAAATATCTACTATTACATAAAAATTTGTATCATCTTAAGCTATTAAGCCATGACCTTTTCAACGGAGCAAACACTTACAGTACGGCCACATCCCACTATGTTATTTGAAATTGACAGTTAGACAGTATACAATCTATTGTATTTTAACTTTTAAATTCGATATTATTGTGCGTTATTGTGAAAAGGGAACAGTATTAAAGAGCTGTTTTGCCAATCGTAAGTTACTTACTCTATCCTTGAATGTGCAATCAGGTTCGATCTAAGAATACGTTACATTCCATCGATATAGCTAAACAGTGCTGTGAAATTAAATTAATCAGAGTATTTCGTATCTAGAAACTTTTCTCTGGAAGCAATAATTCACTTACTGATATTCTTGTATCAATATTCTTAATAAAAAAAAACAGAACTTTTATTATTTGTTATGGCTGAAAGTAGTAGTGCTACTCAAAATTCTACAGATAGGAGAGAATGTCTAAGTATTCAGATATAAAAGAGGATTTTTCAATTTTTCAACACTCGTTATGAAATTCGTAAGCTCTATTTACAATTTCATTATGTCAAATATGCAATACGTATTTGATTATATTGTGTCTATTATATTAACAACTATAACATTATAGCACTGTTAATATTTACTTAAAATATACTCCAATCTTCCATTGTTATCATCACGTACTCAGCTTTTGCCATATTAGAATTTTTTAAGGCTACATAACCTAGTGGGCAAGAAGTATTTGAACAAATTTGGACCAATGTTAGAAATATTAACGTTTTATATAATTTAATTGTATGTAATTATCTGTATAATTTACTACTACGGTATTCAGAGTACATAAGGGCGAAGACATATATATACCAAAGTACATAAGTACGTCAGGTATAATTTAGTTAAGCGTTTTATATAATCTACAATAAATAAAAATGGTTGTACTTACGTATAGTGGTGCTCAATATCAATAGTGCAAGATAATCCAGTATACATTATCACTATTGGAAAGCTTTGTAAATTAATAATTTACAAAAGAAATTTTAAACTAATATAAATAAAAAACAAAAATTAGCAATTAATTTTGTTAAAAATCGAAATCTAGCGTAATTAAATATACGCAGTACTATTGTGAATATTAATATTATTTTATAAGTTTATCCTTATTTTGATGCTATTTATTTATTTTTTTTTGTTAATTTACTAGTTGCATTTATTCTGTTATTAAACTTAATAGTCATAATTTCGCTTTTTATTATTTTCGAATTTTAATTTAAATTTTTTTAGTTTGATTACTTTTATACATTAATACATATTTATTTAATTTTGTTTTAAAGAATTCTAAAAATTTTTGTTTTCTTATAGGTTTTGTTATATTTAAATGCATGAAATTTAACTTTGAAAAAACTTTATAAAAATTATTGAAGAATATATTATTTTAGATTGGAATTTAGAGAATTAGATTTATTTACATCGTAAATTCAATTCATTCGCAATATTGGAATTCTCAATTTATTACAGTATAATTTAGAAAACTTAACAATACTAAAACTTTAACTTATACTTTTATAAACTATTGTTTAAATTTACCTTGTTTCTAATAATATAGAATTTTTTGATAAATTAAAGCTTGCAATATATCTATAGATTTTTATCTATTAATCTTGTTAGAATAAATTATTTGAAGTGTAACATATATATGCTATATATGATAATCATAAATATACATATTGTCATACATATTTAGTATTTAAATGACATTTGAGTGTAATTTAGTGTAAAATATTCAGACTTATAGTGTATAATAATGAAATATATAATTGCTTCTATCGCTAAGAAAACAGTTTGAATACTTTGTATCATTAATTTTTCTATTATAATAAAATAGAAAAATTATCTCATATTTATTATGTCATTCTTTACATTAACTACATAACTGTTAAATCTTTTTTATAATCAAGTTTAAATACCATTAAATATAAAATAATTGAAAGGTAAGTTTTAATTTTAAATATGATCATTTACTCTACTTAAGATAATAACTAATTACATTGTGTTAATTCCTAAAAAATCATTTTACAATTTTTCTTTTATCAAAGATTATTTGAAATCTATTTTTTTATGTTTATGCAATATGTTATGTTGGATACTCTACCTATAGTAATAAAATACACATATAATAGTTTTAATTCCAAAGATTTAAATTATTACGATTCAGATTAAATTTACCAATTTACTTTCCAATTAATGTATTTATTATTGTTTTCATTTTTTATTATTTTTTATTATATTTCATTTTTTATATTTATACTGGTGGTTGAAATAATAGTGTAACAAATAAACAAATTTATAATTATAATATACAAAACGGATTATTTTCTATAACTATTTATGTCATTATGTTCTAAATAGTATAGTAATGTAATTCTTGACTCGAACTGCCAATGCTTCAATAGCTTCGTTTGCCTCCCGCCCTAGCAGATGCCTGGGATGGAGATAGGTGGAAGGCTTGTACAAGAGTCGTTAGAGTTGTCTATTTATACATTTATTATACAATTTATTACACAATTTACATATGGGTGTTGTAGAATCTTCGTGAATCTAATGTGAAGATATGATTTCTTGAACGGCTTCTTATATAGGAAGTGTCATTATACATGATGCCTTGAAATCGTTGAATTGACGTTGAATTGAAAATTGCACAGGTAAATAATTTCTGCACACTTCTTGTCAAAGAGTGTGAGATAATGTTAATGGTTCTGTTGTGCCGGTTTTGCCGCAGGCTGGCAATAATTGAGTAGATAACGTGGATTTGTGTACTTACAGCGATATCGTAGTCTTGATCTGATCCAGGAGTGAGTGGGTCACCAGAGCACGCGGCAAAGCAAGTGCAAGACTCTTATACTCACAGGGATACAGTACTCTTGGTCTGGTCAGTGGATCTTCGCAATATACTTGTCTCTAATTTATTAATACGTACTACTGCGTTGTGTTCTCTCCAGACTTGGCTTCCATAGACGAATAGTCTCTATTACTTAACTTTCCCTTGAGATAGCCCTTGGCTGCCCACGCGAGTTGTTTTCTCTAATTCTCTCTGCGGACAGCCCATCGACTTCCCTACGCGAGTAGCCCTTGACTGCAAATCTCCCCGCGGACCGACCCTTTCGCTATATTGTCTCCACTTTTATGGCCTCTTGCCATTAGTCCCCACTCAAGGAGCTTCTGGTCTTAGTTTTCCAATCGGGGTGCGCCGCTTTTCGGCGGCATGATGAATTTGCATGTCCTTTAATTATTTCAGAAGAAATTAGGCTTAGACAATGAGAGTTTCGAAGGAGTATTTCTGGCGACAACGCATATCATGGAAAATTGCCCCTCTCTGGGTCTCAGCGTGGTGGCGGCTGATTCTTGGTCAAGCGTCTTCGCTTGGTCTACGCAAGCAGCAACATTTGTCGTACTTGACAACAATGCATGCTTGCTGGTGGCATTGAAGGCACACCTGCGGCACAGATTGCCGAACGTCGCACGTACCGAGTTTCGGATTGCAATGAATTTCAAGAAGTGTTTTTCACTCAATTGTTTTCAAATATTTTAATCCTCAAAAATATACTCATATTAACAGTTAAGTCGGGTTTGATGGTAAGTCGCAAGGGTCTTCATTGCATTCAAAACAATTACTACGTTTGTCGTACGAAAGGCAATAAAGTCGCTGTTTACGAGTATGTTCCAGATGTACTAACCTTTTCGAGCCTTCAGCAACCTTGGCGAGACTTTCTTAGATTTTTATGTCCGTTCAAAAATTATTTTTATAATAGCCGTTGAAATTTTCCTAATGAATACAATTTGAGAGAATTTTGTTTCACTCTCGAACACATTAGTATTATTGTAGTATTACAAAGACTACCATTAAACCATTAAACCGATAAAATAGATTCGAATTGAATAAAATACTCATACATCATCAATATTATTTAGTGTTATGACGATTATTTCCTTAGTTTACATATACCAACTTAATATTAATTGATTTAACTCCTGGAATCAATGCTAATACGTTACTTTTATTTTTATAATTTGTTGATATTCTAATACTAATTATGTACTTATGAATAATTAACTAAGTTTTCACGTTTTTACTTGTATATAATTTCTTTATATATATGATTTTGGTTGTAAATAATCTTTATCTACTCTGTTAATAATTAGAATGGTGATAGATTGACAATTTCACTTATGAAATATTTTTCCACGATAAAAGGAGCTATTGCTATTTGTCGAATAATGATTACTTGCATAAATTAGTATCAATATTTCCCCATCAATCTAATTATTTAAATTGCATTTCAATAAATATATCATGATATATTTTTCTATATTTATAAATTCTTTATCATAAAGTTGAATTACTATTTGTCGTTGATTATTTATCAAATATATGATAAAATATTATAATAATAATTAATGTATTATATTTATTATATAATTATAAAATTAGTAAAAAAATATTGATAGAATAGCATAACATATACAGCATAAATAGAAATAGCATAAAAAAATTAGACTATGTTTTAATTAATTTTTTAATAATAAGAATAATCTTAAATTAATAAGTCGCTCAGTATATTTACAGGAATTTTACAGAAATTTATTTAAATAACATTAAAATATTTTCTCAAATAACACATAAATTTATTCATAATTTTATGAAAAATTTTAATATATAAATACTAAATATACGAATTATAATATCAAATAATTATTCATTTATTTGTATGTACATCAAATCTAATTACTGTTCCAGAAATGTAAAATTATAATTACTACTAATGTATACTTTTTTTACACTAGTAATATAGTTTCTCTTAAAATTATAAAAAAGTAAAATTATAAATGAATTATATTTGATTATAAAAATCATGTAGTTTATATAAATGTGATGTAAAAATGTGCGTTTGTCTATTATAAAAATATAAATTATAGTTCATTTACTACTTGTTCAATACTGTTCGGGATTGATGCAGTCCCATAAATTTCAAACAAAAGAAAGGTCACACGCGCTGTCCAGCGTACCGCATGTGCGATTAGACTGACCCGCGCGCGCGGACCGAGACGGGTACTCGAGCAAAATGTTTACAAACAAAATTCGGCAAGTCCGAGCAAGTTTACGATCTGAAATATAATTTACTACTAGCCCTCACAAAAAAGGGACGCCTACGAAACTTCTAGAAGCTTCGTTTTCTCACGCCAAAGGAAATTTTCTGGAAGGGACGCGCATCGACACTGTTGCCGGCGCTGCAGACGCCGCATGCACATTTAAACGCAACACGCCATAAGGCAACGTTCATTTGTAATATCACTTCGCGCTCACTCAAGCGTAACTGCCACTCAGTGTATAGTATACTGTGAAGACGACGCGTAGCCATATAATCGGCATCATAGTTAAAATTACTCGCGTGAATAAAAATAAGAAATCAGCAGATTAGATAGTGATTACAGTGAAGCCAATGGAATTTGTCAACACTTTATGAGGTATCTATTTTTATATTAATAAATAAACTAGTCACATCTAGCACAAGAAACTGGGCAATTTCGCATCCCCTGACGCAGTCAACAGGTGATGGACACTTGGTCGTGCATTCTCTGAAATAAACACCAAGTGATTAGCACGTGGTCGTGCATGCCCTGAAATAGCCACCAGGTGATGAGCGCGTGGTCGCGCATTCTCTAAATAGTCAACTCAATGACACAGTAAGTCAAGGCCAGATTCCAATATATTGACTGATCAACAGTTAGGACATTTTCCAGAAATCCTGAAGATTTCTAAGGTTTATAATCAATGATACTTGTGTGTGACTAGCTCTTCTACAGCTCCCTTTAAATAATGAAGATAAAATTGATTACTTAATATATTCCATTAAACATCTGACACCACATCAAGTATAACCATTCATCAATCAAGCATACTTGATTCTACCACCATCATCCCATGCTGCCTCACAAGCATGATTGACTGACGACATCAGCTGACATTGACAACATCAGCATAACCTCAAAGCAATACAGTTATATCCATAGAATCCTTTATAGCATAAGAATACAAGAACACATCATTTGACACTTCAATAGAATTATTTATCTCTACACAACAGTGCCATATTATTATAATTGTTTAAAATAATAAACCTTGTTTTAATAAATATATTATATTTTTCAGCCTTGTCTGTTATTGTTTCCTTTAAAATTATCCTGCCGAGAGACTAATCCACTGAACTATTGAATTGGTAGTTCGAGCCATAAACTAACCCTTTAAAATCGAACAAATACATATATCGAATATTATTTTGAATTTTACTTAATATTATGTTAACAATACAAGTGATAAATTTTGTATATATTGAACTCCTGAATCTTTTCTTTGTTAAAAATAATAGAAAATTCGTAAACAGTAATCTATTAATACTTGCTTTTACAATGTATTCTGAAAGAAATCGCAAATATTGACTATGAGCTATGTATTAAAAAATTTACTTGTTATTAAATAGAATAGAATATTTTCATTACTTTGTAATTTGTAAAAGAAAATAATTTACCAGAACTTTTATAATATTATAGAAATTATAAGCAATATAATTTATTTTTAATAGAGTTTATATATTATAACATATCATATCTGACAGGTTATATTAGTGCCACATAGTCATACAGATCCAGGTTGGTTAAAAACATTTGAACAGTATTTTCACAGTGCTACAAGAAGTATTTTAAATAATATGGTAACAAAACTGCAACAATGGCAGAATATGACATTTATATGGAGTGAAGTATCTTTTTTATCTCTATGGTGGGAAAGGTAATTTTTTTATATTAGTTAGTAATATAAGAATTATATATGTTTTCTATAATATTTTTACAAAAAGTCAAATATTAAAAATACTCTCATAAATGAAAATGAGTCTAATGTCTAGATGTATAAAATACGCATCGTGCTAAAATTGATAAGACATACTAACTTATGCTTATAATGAATCTTAAACAGAATATTTGAATTTTGTAAAATATAACTTATAATATAAATAATTTAATATAATATATAACATATCATATATAATATAATAATATAATATAATTAATTTATTTAAACAGTTACATTCTTCTTAATCTTTGTTTTTATTCATAAAAAAATGAAGTTAAATGGCATTTTAACATTAATGTAAATATTGTAAAATCTATAAACCAATATGCTTTATTAATTAAATCGAATAAATATTAGATTTTGCAATACCAATATTCCTACTAATTTTTAACATATTACTTTTAATTACATTATTGTTAATGTTAATTATATTATATTTAAATTTCGTTTATTATTATTATAATGAAGTATAAACATTTTTTTTAAATAATTATATTTTGTATACAATAAATAATTTTATTTTGTAAATATTTTCTAATTTCGTGTAAAATTTTTAATATAAAAAAATTGAAAATGTTTTAAAATCTATATAATGACTTTTTATATAAAAATTTGTACAGATAAAAATAATGTTTTAACTACATTTAAAGATGCAAATTAAATTTCCATTTGATTAGAGTTATATTTATATGATTCATAGCATGTTTAGATTATTCTTATTTCTTAAAATTCATAAAATAGTTCATTTATTATATTAAATAGTTGTGTTAATATACTAATTGTAATGATATTTTTTATGATCAATTAATATCAGATGTTTATAAAAGAATAATTGTGTATTTAAAAAATCAATTATATAATAAATGATATAGATTTTTTATAAAATTTTTAGTGTTCATCCAACAAAAAAAATGATTGTAAAGCGATTGGTAAAAGAAGGACGGTTAGAAATAACAACTGGCGGCTGGGTTATGACTGATGAAGCTACTTCTCACATATATGCCATGCTGGATCAACTTATTGAAGGTTAATCTAAATATTATTATAAACAATAAATATTAAATTTGTATTTCGCGGAAAGACACTAAAATTATATAAGAATTTACTAATGAACTAAAATGTATTGATTATTACACTGCTACGAAATTTTGAATTTTATACGTAATGAATGCTTTTTGATTGTTGTTTTATAATAATTTTTATAGCATTATAGTGTGTTCGAGATTCAGAGAATCTTTCGAATTTTATTATTTGGCTAAAAATACCAACGACTATCATTTGAATGAAATGAACTTCCAACGGTTATCATTTCAAGGAAATAATTAAACGGTCATAACTTCTTTATGACGTCATAATCTTATAATGGTCGTTGGAGATTCGGATAAACCGGTACATCCGAAATGAGAACACAATCTTGTTTCTCCCACGACAGTCGAACCCATTGTTCTTGCGCTATGGTCGGCTCTTTGTCTTCAGCTACCAAAGCAGCCGCGTAGATATTTAAATCAATCGCACCAAGAGATACTCAGTCATGAGCTAGTCGATCATCATAGCGGCTACTAAGTCATAAGCCTGCCAACCAAGAATGATTCAGCCATACCGAGTCAAGGAAGTAATCGTAAGCCTTTCCAATACTAGTGCAGTCATTGCACACACTCTCTGCAGCGCCGCTACGGAAGGTATACTCAACAGCTTCATATTAGTGCCCCGGGCACGAAGCTTTTGCAGGGCTTTCTCATGCTAGGTGCAGCCATTGCACACACTCTCAGCAGAGCCACTACAGAAGGCCCTTCTTGTATTAGATGCAGCCATTGCACACACTATCAGCAGAGCCGCAACGGAAGACCCTTCTTATTTAGGTGCAGCCATTGCACATACTTTCAGCAGAGCCGATATGGAAGGTCCTCCTCATCTTTTTACACTTACGACCTCTCACTTTCAATGTAGTATTTCACCACCAAGCGTAGTGTATTAAGAGTATCCGGAGATCTACGACCTCCTACCTCTACATACAGTGCATGCTAACGCCATGTGCCAACCACCATGGAACTGCAAGATCTCAACGATTATCATCGTCAATGTAGAATGATCATATTGTAGTTGTAAAATAAACGAAATATCAAACAAGAAAAGTAGACGTGTTAAGTACTGAATTGAAACGCTACCTCTTCCACTAGATAACTGGTTGCCTTTATAATTTACATAGCCTAATTCTAGACATAGTGTTTATTAGTCAACTCTTCAAATATTTGAAGTCATGTATATAAGAAGTGGTTTGATTTGTTAAGGAAAGAACGATAAACACACTTGCGAAACTATATGTAAGATAATATAAAGCAGGTAATTAACGATTTATAGTTTTTAATTATGTATTATACATTGTTTGCAATCAATGATATTTTTTATGTGAAGTTCTAAAATATTTTAATTATTAAATTTTAAAAAATAATTGTACGATTCAAATTATTTGTAAATAAATTATACATATAATGAAAAATTAATTTTTCCATTTTATTAACAGTTTTTTCTTTATTCATTATATTTTATAAACAATTTAATTTTAATTATAAATTAAAATAATATTATTTAGTATACATATGTTTGAATTTTATACACATATGCACGTATATGTGCATGCTTTATTTGTTGTAATATACCTTATGAAAGAAGTATGTAAAAGCATAGGAAGAAAATATATCCGCAGTGTTCGAAATTGCTTCAATCCCGAACATACCGCCCTCCATCATCAATTTGTTGATGATTGTCTCTTTTTTATCTTCTCTTCTTCAGGGATTGGCAGTAAAAAATCTGAAACAGAGGTGTTATCGTCAAAATTTATTGAATATTTATAAATAATGTCCCATTGACAGTCAGGCGTGTGAATTACTGCTTGGAGCTGATTATTCGTTAATCCTAGGAAGCGCAATCAATTTCTTCCATCGCGATCCATGAGACTTGTTCCACGTTAAAGGTACCCGCGGGTCCGTTCACAAATATGTTACCCTTGCGCTCATGTCCAGTGTGGTCGTAATTCTTGTAAATTCATTTTCGCCCTTGTCACGACTGGTAGACACCTAATGGTTCAAACAATTTTTTTTATGTTGCGTGTGCGCTTAATGAATCGGTCGTGTAAGAGGAGACTGTTGTCGAGAAAATGAATTCATACTCTTAGTGCCCTCATTTCAATCCAGGAAATTTTAATTGTGCGATCGTCAATACAATTGATAACTATTGTTTATGATCTGCTTTAATAGTAGAAGAACTTCTCCTCTTGTTGAGTGCCACGTGTCTAAAGGAACCGCTCGCCATGCCAAGGTTCTGCAGTTGTATATGTAATGTTCTGACTGCTAGGAATGTGCCAGCTCTTGTGTCGTTCGTTAATGATGAGATTACCAATCGCCTGTAAAGATTGAAGTACAAAGTCCACAAGGGGGCTCAGGATATAATCAGATGTGCGACTGTGTTATGACTGCTTAGATACTTTATAGTAAATTATCTTATTCGTCATAATGATTATTGCATTCTGATTCTCGTATAACCCGTCAACATCAACTGTTAAGATTTCCGACAGTCGATGACATCATTACAGATTGATTCTGATTTCTCGGTAATTCACAGGGTATATATGTCAGGTTTTTCTATAAAGGACACATATCTATTCAGAAATCTATGCTTTGTTAATCAATATAGAAACCCAGCTCATGGATGCGTTGTTCAATTGTTGCAGTGCTGCTATCAATAATTTTATTTTCTTTACCTTCTTTTATGCACATTTATATTTATCTCTTAGAGTTGAATCTCGCAACAAAGCATTAACTTCTTCTATATCCTTCAATAGTATAATATATTGTATAGACCATCTTTGATTCATAATACATATGCAGATGTCTTTATATTTCCCTTTTGTACGTTGTAAGTTAATGATGCTATGATCATTAATATGTAACTGAAAATTGTTCCCTTGGAAATACCCATCCCTGAAAAGGAATGAGGTTTCTAAATCTATTTTCTTTTCTATTTTATCTTGGCAACCACACCGAGTGTTTAATGGGTGGGATAAATGTTTCTTTTGATCCAAGGAAAGTTCTGCAACTGGGACTGAGCTTTTGAAATATTTTTATGTAGTGAATTAAAATTTGGAGTTAATGTATGTTGTTCGGAAAATAATTACATAATCTGTCTCATCAGCCAAACGTGCAAAAATCAACTTAGAACAAAAAACCCACTAGATGTTGTGTGGGGTTGCCGGGCAAGTAAAGGGTTAATGCATCGATTCAATAATTAACACATATCTTTATTATTGCTGTTTGATTCATTTATTTTACTTTATTTCCAATGAGAATTATTAACCTTGGTTAAATTACAAATGATCTTTATATTTCTTGATAATCTTATGGTGTTATTTACAAAAGGGTGAATTACAGACGAACTTTATATTTCTTAATAATCTTGGTATATAATTACTATAAACAGAAGTAGGTTATAATCTATTGAATATTATCACTAAGAGGTTATGGTGATTGTAGTGCTCTGATCGAACACTGCAATGCTAATGTGTTTATCTTAACACGTGTGAGTTGCCTCTAAATATCGGTCATAAGAGAGCCTAAATGGAGGTTATGCGAAGCTAT